AATTTCAATGGGGACTAACTGTGCACCACTTATTGCGGACCTGTTTCTGTATTGTTATGAGTATGAGTTACAATTTATGACTAAAATCAGCAAAGCACCATCGAAACAACATCTGATACAAAAACACTTTTAGATATTTGGATGATATATTGGCTCTTGATAATGACGACTTCAGTATAAAGTTGAGAATAGAAATGGGGAATGTGTGTCAAAGAGACCATAACCCGTCCAAAGAGCAAAAAACAGCCGAAGGCTACCAATGGGTCTTCAACACAGCGGGAAAATCCCGCACCCGGAAGCGGGCTTCAGCTGGCCCCTAAACAAAAATGTGTACTAGTTCAGTGAAAATGGACGTCATACTAAACTCCAAAACATATAAATGAACTAAAATTAAAAAACATACAAGACTAACAAAGGCCAGAGGCTCCTGACTTGGGACAAGCGAAAAAATGGTGTTAATATATCTTGGCTTGTTCGATTCGCTCGTGTATGTAACAACGTATTTGATTTTAACGAAATAAATCTCTGTATTACTGAAAAATTATTACACCAGGGTTTTCGATATCACAAACTAGTCAACACATTTACTTAATTTTATCATCGGTACAAGGACATCATTCGTAAATATAAATCAACATGCAGACATCTTATACGTTCAGGTATTTCACATCCAATCTTTTATGGTAATATTATATACAAAGCACAAAAATATCGTCATTCACCTCAAAAGCTAACCCAACCTTTAAACAGACTTATTCAGAAGGGATATAGTTATGATACTGTTGTCAGGTCATTAAAGATGGCATATTTTGGAATTAATATTGATTAACACATAGGGTCTTTGCATCGGAAATAAACACATTTATTCTAAAACCAGTTATTGGCATGATACGGGTTATGTTCCTCTCATATATTATATGATGGTATGATACTAAACCCCTAACGGAAGGAATTGTGCTTGATTTTCATATGATGAAGACATAAACTTTCTATCAGTTTAATTGAGGTTTGGAGCTAGCATGTCAGTAACTGCTAGTAGTCCTTTTTATACGACCGCAAAAAATTTTTTGTGGTCGTATATTGGTATGACGTTGGCGTCGTCGTCGTCGTCGTCGTCGTCGTCGTCGTCGTCGTCGTCTGGCGTCGTCCGGCGTCGTCCGAAGACACATTGGTTTTCACACTCTAACTTTAGTTTAAGTGAATGGATCTCTATGAAATTTTACCACAAGGTTTAATACCACAAAAGGAAGGTTGGGATTGATTTTGGGGGTTATGGTACCAACAGTAAAGGAATTAGGGGCCAAAAAGGGGCCAAAAATAAGCATTTTTGTAACTTCCAGACATAACTTGTGTGCTAGTGTATGGATCTCTCTGACATTGTACCACAAGGTTCCATATCACAAAAGGAATGCTGGGATTGATTTTTGGGGGTAATTGCCTCAAAATTTTAGGAATTAGGGGCCAAAAAAAGGGGCAAAAAACAAGCATTTTTCTAGTTTCAGGACAATAACTTGTGTGTAAGTGTATGGATCTTTTTGAAATTATACTACAAGGTTCCATATCACAAATGGAAAGCTGGGTTTGAGTTTGGGGGTAATTGCCCTAAATGTTTAGGAATTTGGGGCCAAAAAGGGGCCAAAAAACACATTTTTCTAGTTTCCAGACAATAACTTGTGTTCAAGTGTATGGATCTCTCTGAAATTGTACTGCAAGGTACCAGACCACAAAGGGAAGGCTGGGATTGAGTTTGGGGGTGATGAATCATAAGGGGGTTCAAAAAATTGGGGGGGGGATTTTTTTTTTTTTCCTTTTTTTTCTTTTTTTCCTTTTTTTTTTCTTTTAAAATTTTCCATTTTAAGTTGGTTATTTCTGATTTATATTTAAAAGCAAGTAATAATGATATGGTAGGAGATACACACCAAACAGGATGTGTTTATTATTATATAATAAGTATTGTGCAATAGCAAGAAATTTTCAATTGCACAGTATTGCACAATAGCAAGAAATCTTCAATTGCACAGTATTGCACAATAGCAAGAAATCTTCAATTGCACAGTATTGCGCAATAGCAAGACATCTTCAATTGCACAGTATTGCGCAATAGTAAGAAATATCCAATAGCACAATATTGCGCAATAGCAAGAAATTGTCAATTGTACAGTATTGCGCAATAGCAAGAAATATTTAATTGCATAGTATTGTGCAAAAGAAGATACTTCATATAAATTGCTTATTTCTTGACCAATTTCAATGGGGTTTTATTCTTGAATTCTTGGGGTTCTTTAATATGCTGAATCTAACAGTGTATTTAGTTTTTGGATTTTGGGCCTCGTTTTTAAATTGGTCCACATTGAGGTCCAAAGGGTCCAAAATTAAACTTTGTTTGATTTCATCAAAAATTGAATTCTTAGGGTTCTTTGATATGCTGAATCTAAACATGTATTTAGATTTTTGATTATGGGCCCAGTTTTCAAGTTGGTCCAAATCGGGATCCAAAATTAAACTTTGTTTGATTTCAACAAAAATTGAATATATGGGGTTCTTTGATATGCTGAATCTAACCATGTATTTAGATTTTTGATTTTTGGTTCCGTTTTCAAATTGGTCTACATTAAGGTCCAAAGGGTCCAAAATTAAACTTAGTTTGATTTTAACAAAAATTGCATTCTTAGGGTTCTTTGATATGCTGAATCTAAACATGTATTTAGATTTTTGATTATGGGCCCAGTTTTCAAGTTTGTCCAAATCGGGGTCCAAAATTAAACTTTGTTTGATTTCAACAAAAATTGAATATATGGGGTTCTTTGATGTGCTGAATCTAACCATATATTTAGATTTTTGATTTTTGGGCCCCGTTATCAACTTTGTCCACATTGAGGTCAAAAGGGTCCAAAATTAAAATTTGTCTGATTTCATCAAAAATTGAATTCTTGGGGTTCTTTGATATGCTGAATTTAACCATGTATTTAGATTTTGGATATTGGACCATAATAGGTGGATGTCCAATTTAAAATTTTTAAGTTCTTAGACCACATTCATTCTGTGTCAGATACCTATGCTGTGTCAAATATTTAATCACAATCCAAATGCAAAGCTGTATCAAGCTTGAATGTTGTGTCCATACTTGCCCCAACTGTTCAGGGTTCGACCTCTGCGGTCGTATTTAATTTTATTTAATTTATGTATCATTTTAATTTTGCTTAGTTTCTTCTGTTACCTATTCTGACATCGGACTCGGACTTCTTTTAAACTGAGTTTTACTGTGCGTATTGCTCTATGTTTTTCTTTTTTTATTGTATATAGGGGGAGGATTGAGATCTCACAAAACATGTTTAACCCCACCGCATTTTTGCGCCTGTCCTAAGTCAGGAGCCTCTGACGTTTGTTAGTCTTGTATGTTTTTGTAGTTTTAGTTCATTTATATGTTTCGGAGTTGAGTGTGACGTCCATTTTCACTGAACTAGTACACATTTTCGTTTAGGGGCCAGCTGAAGCCCGCCTCCGGGTGCGGGATTTTCTCGCTGTGTTGAAGACCCATTGGTGGCCTGGGGCTGTTTTCTGCTCTTTGGTCGGGTTGTTGTCTCTTTGACACATTCTCCATTTCCATTCTCAATTTTATCTGTTGGATAGTTGTCTCATTGACAATCATATATATCGCATCTCTTTTTAACTGTTAATTTATACTATAGAAATATTTTTTTGGGTCTTTAAATAGATATGTGTTATCTTTACTAAATTACAGTAATGAAATAGAAGGAGGTCAGTTTTAAAGTTCCCGAATGCCTAATTTCATAATGTTGGTTTCTTTGAAAAATAAAAGATAAATTTAAGAAAAAAACGGACAATATGATTGTAGTCCTCGGAAAAAACGGACAATGTAAAAAAGGTTAATTGAAAGTGAAAAAGAAGACAATTATGAGTAAGTGTTTTGTAGTAACTCTATATTTCGATTGATAAAATGTACTGTTCTTTTTCCGTTTTTTTTGACAATATGGCTTTACATTTTATAATAATTTCTATAGAAATAAATAAATACTAAATATAGTGTGTTCTGTAAGTCAATATAGCGTGAACCGGATATACACATGTACATTAAAATGTACTTTTTATAGTGTAAGTATTATTTCTCGCCGTTTTTTTTTTTTTTTTTTCATTTCACAATATAATGGCACAAACTGGATAATTGCTTACATTCCATTACCTTGGACATTTTTCAGACCGTTTCCAGCTGGCTAGTTTCCAATTTCCGGTTGTAGTGACTTTGGTGTTTGCATTAGCAAATATAACAATTGTGCAACAAAAAACAATATTTTTGTCACGTTTTACGACGATCGGAGATAAAATACGATCTATTGCCACACAATTCTGATCTTTTGTACACAAAAATAAAATGTGGGACATGGCTTTTTTGCGTAAAAATGAAGTTATCAAGTAAAATAATTTTGGACATACTTAGTTTTTAATTTTAAAATATTTTTTCTCTTTGTTTCAAGCCGATTATACCAAATGCAAAACAAATTGAGCCTATCTTTATCGAGCTGACCAGTCGACGCATTGTTTTTAATAATGAAGTAGTAAAATATAATAAGATTGTAACACTTTTAAGTATTTATTTTGTTGAACTATTGTATTTGACATTTAAATTCAAGACTTACAAAAAATAATTTAAGGCGTTGTCTGCAAAAGTCAATTTGATCTTCTCAAAAATCGTAGTACATCAGACAGTATCCTTGTTTTGAAGTCACTAATTAATAAATATTATCACAATCAAAAACTAGAAATACTTACTTTGTTAACAAGAAAGGCTTTTGACTTGAATATACACAATTACAAAAAATAAGAACTAGGAATTAGTATAGAGCAAGACTGAGAAAAAATGAATCTATCATACAATATATTGTAGGCCTACAGGTTATTATCGGTGCTGTAATTGACGCTGTTTGGAGTGCTGTTGAAGGACCAATCAAGTATCTAATTGGTTATCTCCTCTGGTGTTTGCTATGTTGTTGGTCATGTTGTATGCAATGTTGTTTGCCATGTAAGTTACCAAATTTAAAACATAAAATATGTATAATATACTGACCGTTACGATAAACAAATCTGATATGTAAATATCGGCGCGTTACGTTTGCGCGAATTTAAATTTTGACAGGTATTACGTTTGTGTAAACAAATGGTATTACGTTTGCGAGAAATTACCTGTACTTTACCATGTATGTGAAGTTAGCAGCCGGTTCGTTATTCGATATTCGATATTCAATATCCAACCGGCTGCTAGCAGTCGGTTGGATATTCAAAATTTAGTTGAAAATCATAAAAAAATTAAATACTTGATAACATTAAAAGCACGATTTTCATAGTTAAGAGGACTGATAAGATACGTAGGAAATCGTTTAATGACCTCTTCAAGCTGTCGTAAATTCTCGTCGAAGGATTTCCCAGAATAATGTCATCTTCGATATCTACGGAGGGCTTAGATTGTCACTCTTCAGCTAAAAATTGTCAAAATTTTAGGACAAAGGGCACAGGGCAATGGTTAGAGCCCCCTGATCTCTCAATCTTTCTAATATTATGCACACATTTAGTTAATAGGTAGATACAAACGTGACTAAAAGGAATTTGGATATACTTCCTGTCTTCCATGTTTACGGAGCGCCCAAAGTGCCAGTTGGATATTCAAAATATATAGTGAAAACCTACCTGAGACCGCTTAAATGAGGGTGAGACCCCCCTAGTCTTTCAATGTCCATAAAATTCAACTTATGCATAGACTCTGTATATGTAAAGGTTGTATTAGAAGGATTTCCCAGAATAATGTCATCTTCGATATCTTCGGAGGGCTTAGATTGTCACTCTTCAGCTAAAAATTGTCAAAATTTTAGGACAAAGGGCACAGGGCAATGGTAAGAGCCCCCTGATCTCTCAATCTTTCTAATATTATGCAGACATTTAGTTAATAGGTAGATACAAACGTGACTAAAAGGAATTTGGGTACACTTCCTGTCTTCCATGTTTACGGAGCGCCCAAAGTGCCAGTTGGATATTCAAAATATATAGTGAAAACCTACCTGAGACCGCTTAAATGAGGGTGAGACCCCCCTGGTCTTTCAATGTCCATAAAGTTCAACTTAATCATAGACTCTGTATATGTAAAGGTTGTATTAGAAGGATTTCCCAGAATAATGTCATCTTCGATATCTACGGAGGGCTTAGATTGTCACTCTTCAGCTAAAAATTGTCAAAATTTTAAGACAAAGGGCACAGGGCAATGGTTAGAGCCCCCTGATCTCTCAATCTTTCTAATATTATGCAGACATTTAGTTAATAGGTAGATACAAACGTGACTAAAAGGAATTTGGGTACACTTTCTGTCTTCCATGTTTACGGAGCGCCCAAAGTGCCAGTTGGATATTCAAAATATATAGTGAAAACCTACCTGAGACCGCTTAAATGAGGGTGAGACCCCCCTGGTCTTTCAATGTCCATAAGATTCAACTTAATCGTAGACTCTGTATATGTAAAGGTTGTATTAGAAGGATTTCCCAGAATAATGTCATCTTCGATATCTACGGAGGGCTTAGATTGTCACTCTTCAGCTAACAATTGTCAAAATTTTAGGACAAAGGGCACAGGGCAATGGTTAGAGCCCCCTGATCTCTCAATCTTTCTAATATTATGCAGACATTTAGTTAATAGGTAGATACAAACGTGACTAAAAGGAATTTGGGTACACTTCCTGTCTTCCATGTTTACGCAGCGCCCAAAGTGCCAGTTGGATATTCAAAATATATAGTGAAAACCTACCTGAGACCGCTTAAATGAGGGTGAGACCCCCCTGGTCTTTCAATGTCCATAAAATTCAATTTAATCATAGACTCTGTATATGTAAAGGTTGTATTAGAAGGATCTCCCAGAATAATGTCATCTTCGATATCTACGGAGGGCTTAGATTGTCACTCTTCAGCTAAAAATTGTCAAAATTTTAGGACAAAGGGCACAGGGCAATGGTTAGAGCCCCCTGATCTCTCAATCTTTCTAATATTATGCAGACATTTAGTTAATAGGTAGATACAAACGTGACTAAAAGGAATTTGGGTACACTTCCTGTCTTCCATGTTTACAGAGCGCCCAAAGTGCCAGTTGGATATTCAAAATATATAGTGAAAACCTACCTGAGACCGCTTAAATAAGGGTGAGACCCCCCTGGTCTTTCAATGTCCATAAAATTCAACTTAATCATAGACTCTGTATATGTAAAGGTTGTATTAAAAGGATTTCCCAGAATAATGTCATCTTCGATATCTACGGAGGGCTTAGATTGTCACTCTTCAGCTAACAATTGTCAAAATTTTAGGACAAAGGGCACAGGGCAATGGTTAGAGCCCCCTGATCTCTCAATCTTTCTAATATTATGCAGACATTTAGTTAATAGATAGATACAAACGTGACTAAAAGGAATTTGGGTACACTTCCTGTCTTCTATGTTTACGGAGCGCCCAAAGTGCCAGTTGGATATTCAAAATATATAGTGAAAACCTACCTGAGACCGCTTAAATGAGGGTGAGACCCCCCTGGTCTTTCAATGTCCATAAAATTCAACTTAACCATAGACTCTGTATATGTAAAGGTTATATTAGAAGGGTTTCCCAGAATAATGTCATCTTCGATATCTACGGAGGGCTTAGATTGTCACTCTTCAGCTAAAAATTGTCAAAATTTTAGGACAAAGGGCACAGGGCAATGGTTAGAGCCCCCTGATCTCTCAATCTTTCTAATATTATGCAGACATTTAGTTAATAGGTAGATACAAACGTGACTAAAAGGAATTTGGGTACACTTCCTGTCTTCCATGTTTACGGAGCGCCCAAAGTGCCAGTTGGATATTCAAAATATATAGTGAAAACCTACCTGAGACCGCTTAAATGAGGGTGAGACCCCCTGGTCTTTCAATGTCCATAAAATTCAACTTAATCATAGACTCTGTAAATATAAAGGTTGTATTAGAAGGATTTCCCAGAATAATGTCATCTTCGATATCTACGGAGGGCTTAGATTGTCACTCTTCAGCTAAAAATTGTCAAAATTTTAGGACAAAGGGCACAGGGCAATGGTTAGAGCCCCATGATCTCTCAATCTTTCTAATATTATGCACACATTTAGTTAATAGGTAGATAAAAACGTGACTAAAAGGAATTTTGGTACACTTCCTGTCTTCTATGTTTACGGAGCGCCCAAAGTGCCAGTTGGATATTCAAAATATATAGTGAAAACCTACCTGAGACCGCTTAAATGAGGGTGAGACCCCCCCTGGTCTTTCAATGTCCATAAAATTCAACTTAATCATAGGCTCTGTATATGTAAAGGTTGTATTAGAAGGATTTCCCAGAATCATGTCATCTTCGATATCTACGGAGGGCTTAGATTGTCACTCTTCAGCTAAAAATTGTCAACATTTTAGGACAAAGGGCACAGGGCAATGGTTAGAGCCCCCTGATCTCTCAATCTTTCTAATATTATGCAGACATTTAGTTAATAGGTAGATACAAACGTGACTAAAAGGAATTTGGGTACACTTCCTGTCTTCTATGTTTACGGAGCGCCCAAAGTGCCAGTTGGATATTCAAAATATATAGTGAAAACCTACCTGAGACCGCTTAAATGAGGGTGAGACCCCCCCTGGTCTTTCAATGTCCATAAAATTCAACTTAATCATAGGCTCTGTATATGTAAAGGTTGTATTAGAAGGATTTCCCAGAATCATGTCATCTTCGATATCTACGGAGGGCTTAGATTGTCACTCTTCAGCTAAAAATTGTCAAAATTTTAGGACAAAGGGCACAGGGCAATGGTTAAAGCCCCCTGATCTCTCAATCTTTCTAATATTATGCAGACATTTATTTAATAGGTAGATAAAAACGTGACTAAAAGGAATTTGGGTACACTTCCTGTCTTCCATGTTTACGGAGCGCCCAAAGTGCCAGTTGGATATTCAAAATATATAGTGAAAACCTACCTGAGACCGCTTAAATGAGGATGAGACCCCCCTGGTCTTTCAATGTCCATAAAATTCAACTTAATCATAGACTCTGTATATGTAAAGGTTGTATTAGGAGGATTTTCCAGAATATTGTCATCTTCGATATCTACGGAGGGCTTAGATTGTCACTCTTCAGCTAAAAATTGTCAAAATTTTAGGACAAAGGGCACAGGGCAATGGTTAGAGCCCCGTGATATCTCAATCTTTCTAATATTATGCAGACATTTAGTTAATAGGTAGATACAAACGTGACTAAAAGGAATTTGGGTACACTTTTTGTCTTCCATGTGTACGGAGCGCCCAAAGTGCCAGTTGGATATTCAAAATATATAGTGAAAACCTACCTGAGACCGCTTAAATGAGGGTGAGACCCCCCTGCTCTTTTAATGTCCATAAAATTCAACTTAATCATAGACTCTGTATATGTAAAGGTTGTATTAGAAGGATTTCCCAGAATAATGTCATCTTCGATATCTACGGAGGGCTTAGATTGTCACTCTTCAGCTAAAAATTGTCAAAATTTTAGGACAAAGGGCACAGGGCAATGGTTAGAGCCCCCTGATCTTTCAATCTTTCTAATATTATGCAGACATTTAGTTAATAGGTAGATACAAACGTGACTAAAAGGAATTTGGGTACACTTCCTGTCTTCCATGTTTACGGAGCGCCCAAAGTGCCAGTTGGATATTCAAAATATATAGTGAAAACCTACCTGAGACCGCTTAAATGAGGGTGAGACCCCCCTGGTCTTTTAATGTCCATAAAATTCAATTAAATCATAGACTCTGTATATCTAAAGATTGTATTAGAAGGATTTCCCAGAATAATGTCATCTTCGATATCTACGGAGGGCTTAGATTGTCACTCTTCAGCTAAAAATTGTCAAAATTTTAGGACAAAGGGCACAGGGCAATGGTTAGAGCCCCCTGATCTCTCAATCTTTCTAATATAATGCAGACATTTAGTTAATAGGTAGATACAAACGTGACTAAAAGGAATTT